TCTATCCATCTGACAAGGGGCTAATATCCAGAATCCACAAGGAACATTAAAAAAAAATCTGCAAAAAAAAAAAAACCATCAAAAAGTCGGTGAGGATATGAACAGACACATCTCAAAGAAGACATTTCTGTGGCCAATGAACTTATAAAAAAAAAAAAAGCTCATCATCACTGATCATTAGAGAAATGCAAATCAAAACTACAATGAGATACCATTTCATACCAGTTAGAATGGCTATCATTAAAAAGTCAGGAAACAAGCTAAGCACAGTGGCTCATGTCTGTAATTCCAGCACTTGGGAAGCTGAGATGGGCAGATCACTGGAGGTCAGGAGTTCAAGACCAACCTGATCAACATGATGAAACCCCATCTCTACTAAAAATGCAAATCAAGCTGGGCATAGTGGTGCATGCCTATAATCCCAGTAACTCAGGAGGCTGAGGCAGGAGAATTGCCTAAACCCAGGAGGCGGAGGTTGCAGTAAGCCGAGATCATGCCATTGCACTCTGTCCTGGGTAACAAGAGCGAAACTCCATCTCAAAAAAATATATATACAAAAATTAGTCGGACACGGTGGCAGGTGCCTGTAGTCCCATCTACTAGAGAGGCTGAAGCATGAGAATCCCTGGAACCTGGGAGGCAAAGATGGCAGTGAGCCAAGATCGGGCCACAGAGTGAGACTGTCTCAAAAAAAAAAAGTTCAGAAAAAAGCAGATACTGGAGAGGATGTGGAGAAATAGAAATGCTTTTACGCTATTGGTGAGAGTGTACATTAGTTCAGCCATTGTGGAAGACAGTGTGACAATTTCTCAAGGATCTAGAACAAGAAATACCATTTGACATAGCAATCCCATTACAGGGTATATACTCAAAGGATTATAGATCATTCTACTATAAAGACACATGCACACGTATGTTCACTGCAGCACTATTTACAATAGCAAAATCTTGGAACCAACCCAAATACCTATAAATGATAGACTGGATAAAGAAAATTTGGCACATATACACCATGGAATACTATGCAGTCATAAAAAAAGAATGATTTCATGTCCTTTGTAGGGACATGGATGAAGCTGGAAAACATCATTCTCAGCAAACTAGCACTGGAATGAAAAACCAAACACCACATTTTCTCACTCATAAGTGTGAGTTGAACAATGAAAACACATGGACGCAGGGAGGGAAACATCACACACCTAGGCATGTCGGGGGGTGGAGGGCAAGGTGAGGGATAGCATTAGGAGAAATACCTAATGCATGTGGGACTTAAAACCTAGACGACGGGTTGATGAGTGCAGCACACCACCATGGCACATGTATATCTGTGTAACAAGCCTGCACATTCTGCACATGTATCCCATAAGTTAAAGTATGTATATACTGTGTGTGTGTATGTGTATATATAAAGTATATATACTTTATATATACATATACACACTATATATATTTTTTTATTATATATGTATATACTTTAAGTTCTTTGAGACTACCAGTGGGCACTGGGACAGTTTTCTAATTTTTGTTACCATATATATATATATAAATATATATGTATAGGGAAACAAAACCACAATGAGATATCATCTTACCTCAGTCAGAATGACTGATTAAAAGGGTGAAAAATAAAGAGCTGTTGGCAAGGATATGGAGAAAGAAGAACTCTTACACGCCCTTGGTGGGAATGTGAATTAGTACAGCTTCTATGGAAAGCAGTATGGTTCCTCAAAGAACTAAAACTAGAACTGCATTTCCATGGAGCAGTCCTACTACTGGGTTATCTTCCCAGAGGACAAGTAGTCAGTGTATCAAATACATACCTTGATCTGTATGTTTATTGTAGCAACATTCACAGTAACAAAGACATTGAATATCCAAAGTCTCCATCCATGAATGACTGGATTAAAAATGTAATTACATATATGCAATGCCATACTACTCAGTCATAAAGAGAGAGTGAAATCACGTATTTTGTGGTTATATGGATGGAACTATGGGTCATTTTCTTAAGAAAAACAGGCTAGATACAGAAAATCAAATATAACGTGTTCTCACTTGTAAGTGGTTGCTAAAGAATGTGTTTGCATGGATGAAGAGAGTGATATCATATGCAGATATGACATGGAAGTTTAGGAGGCAGAGGGCTTCAATAGTGGGATATTAATTAATAAATACAGTGATTGGGGTATTAGTAAATACAGTGCTTGTTATTTGAATAATGAGTACCATAATGTAATGTCTTAAACACTATGTAATCTAAGTAACAAAACCAAACTTGTAACATATACAACATTTGTGCAAATAAAAGTTTTCAAAAATAGACAGAAAATCTAGGCATACTGCTCCCTCATCCCGACAATAAAAAGAAAACCACCACCAGTGTGGCCATAGCAGAATCTATTAAGTACAGAGCAGTCCCCAATTCCAGAGACAATTACAGCTCAATACATAGGACTTTAGCAGTTAAAAATTAGCATCTTTTTAGTAGTTAAAAATTAGCATCTTGATCTTAGAGAGTGAAAGTGGTGGCAATCAACTGGAAAACAGAAAAGTAATATAAAAATAAAATAGCTACTGTGGGGAATTGACTTTTGGGAAATAAACAGAAGTGCTATTTGGCGTAAGCTGCAGATGAGGCTTGCTGGGATGGGCTGATAGAGATGGAAGTGATGAAACTGGCTGCAGTAGGAAATGATTCTGAAGCTTGAACTTCACCATGATCACATAGCTAATTTGACTAGATGTAATGTGATGTAATAGGAAAAGAGAAGAGGCAAGAATAAATCCTAGTTTGCTTAATTAATTCTATGAATTATTTACCAGGACCAAATAGAGTTGGAAGAGGAGGAACTTTGTAGTTGAAGGAGGGAAAAGGCAGAGGTAGGAGAAACCCCAGGAGAGAGTAGCAGGTTCCTGTAATGACTGATAGACTGTTCCCATGGTAGAATCAATGGGGTTAAACTGCTGAGGGGTCACAAGAGATGCAGGACTGAGAACTGATTCCTAAAATGAGTGGAATGGTGGCAGTAGATGACCTTGGCAGACTTGGAGTGGAAAGAACAAAAGCATCTATAATGTGTGTGTAAGAAAAAAATAGGAGGTGAGGGGATGGGGAAATCATCACATACTTATGGAGCAAGAGCTTTTGCAATAAAAATGGCAGACAAGTAATACGGGAGGAAAGAAGCACTGAGAATCTCAGGAAGACCTCTGTAGAAATGGGTGATATTTCAGTAGGTTTTTGCTGATTGAAATAATCCCATAGAGCATATATTTAAGAATCAGTAGACAAAAGAGTCACATGCAGAGGCAAAAATCCTTAATTGGGCAATCTGGGTTTAGAATCAAGTAGGAAGGTAAGAGATAGGGGTAGAGAAGCTCCACCTACGATAATAGGAGAGAAGCCAGAGACCAGGGCTTCAGCTCAATCTGGGTTGGTCAATTTGGTGGTGGTTACGGTGAGATCATTCTGTTATGATTTTCCTGAACATCTTAGTGAATTCTCTGAGGCTGTCAGTGGACACAGGGGCAGTTTTCTAATACTGAACCTTCCTTGCTTGAGAAGCAGATATGCCAATCTCTGCAAGGGTTTTGGTATGTATGTTATCTCATTAGTCTTCATTCTCTAAGGTAGTTGTGAAGTATTTGGGTCAAGTATAAAATTATCAACCAAGACAAAAGTATGCCAAATTGCAGGGTCTTTATTGCCAGCAACCACGGAGGACTCATGTCTCTCCAACCCGTGGCCCCAAACTCAGGGGGATCAAGGTATTTAAGCTGAAAAACCACACCCTGGTTTTAGGATTGAGTGGATGCAGGGCAAGCAACTTTACAGAAGCTTATTTTGGTAACTACTGATAAGCAAAGGCCAGGCAGTTCATTCTTTAGAGCAAGGTAGCAGTTTTGTTTACAGAAGCCAAGGTCAGCAGTTATTGCAAGGAGAATGGGGCAGCCGTTACAACTTATTTTTGGAGAAACAGCTTTGTCTTATAAAATGGCGTTGCTCAGGTTCTAACTTTAGGCCCCCTATAGCACAGTTGTTATGATTATTCTCATTATAGATGAGGAAATTGAAGCTCTGAGAGTTGAAGTAGCTTTTTAAGGGTCCAGAGATAGCAAGAAAAACAGTTAGGTCTTAATTAAAATCTGAGGGTGTTCAAATGTTTTGCTCCTTAAAATCATGCTGCCTCCTTGATGAAATCCATTCAGGTTTCATTGAAGAATGGTGAGAAATATAAGGAGGGAGAGACGTGATCACTGTTAAAATAGAGCAAGTGGGATAGAGCAGGTTCTGCTGATAAGAAACATAGAACCATATTCATTCCTTTGAAACCAAACTCAGTTTCTTAGAAATTAAAAGGACTTCTTTTAGCTTCTGTGACTTTTTTTGCATTTGTTTTGTTTTTTGTCTTTAAGATTACTGGGATGCCAGTAAACAATCTGAAAATAATTTTTAAATTTCAATTTGTGCTGTAGAAGTCAGGAAAGTGCCAGGCGTGGTGGCTCACACCTATAATCTCAGCAGTTACAGAGGCTGAGGAAGGCATATCACCTCAGGTCAGGAGTTGGAGACCAGTCTGGCCAACATGGTGAAAACCCTGTTCTACTAAAAACACAAAAATTAGCTAGGCATGATGGTGGGAACCTGTAATCCTAGATACTTGGAAGGCTGAGGCAGGAGAATAGCAGCAACCCAGGAGATGCAGGTGGCAGCGATCTGAGATTGTGTCACTGCACTCCAGCTTGGGTGATAGAGCAATACTCCATCTCGGAAAAAAGACAAAACAAACAAACCAAAAAAAAAAATGCAAGTCACAGAAGGAGAGAAACAGTAAAATATTTTTTTTTAAATGTCATGGCAGCTGGCTCAATTAGGATTAAGGAGGAGGGACGCTATCTGGAAGATCTAGGGAAATGGGTCCTAGATGTACTTATAATGTGTTCTTGGTCCTCAGATTCCACATTCACAAACAGTGACAAAGAGACACCACAATCAGAAATTGCAAGCTGACTCTTTTATTGGTATATTGAAATTAGAGCTACGGCTGCCTTATTCCAATGTTACGGCATTTGAATCACTTGAATCACTGTCATCTTCTTATTCACTTCCTGAAACAAACAAACAAGGAAGTTCATAGAGCAGACATGACATGGCAGGAAATGTCTAACCCCTCCCTGGAGTTACTGCAATAGAGTACATGAGAGCCCACCCTCTCTCCCCCGTCCCTTTTCCCTCCTGTGTTTCCTTCCTAATTTTTTGTGTCTTCACTCTTTTGATGCCCTGGCACACAATGTGTTCCAAATTGTTGCTTAGAAGATGAAGAGAAAAGATCATTCTTAGCTTGTTGTGACTCTTTGCTGTTGAATTTCTTCAGGAGTATATTTACACAGATACTAATTGGAACATATTCAATAATAGTGAGAAGCTGAAATCACCCTCAGGGTCGAGTAATAGGAAGTGATTAAAGAAATCATGGTACAGCCACACAATGGAGTAGCATAAAAATGTAGAAACAAACAGAAAACCACTGAAGAGATTGACTTAGCTTCATAAACTCATGTGGACATTTTCAAAGAAATGTATTTTTAAATGACTAACATACATATCTGCATATAAATTATGGTATTCATTCTGGGGGAAAAGAATTCTATATATCTATGTACACATAAATATTTCAAAGAGGAGATCTGATACAGTTAACAGTGGTGGTTTTCTGAAGGAAAAAAAAGGCAGGTAGAATGAGTTTGACTTTAAATTTACCTTTGTATTTTTCCATTCCATTAGGTATTTTTTGTTAGCTTAATCATGTACTTATTGAAAAGTACGTATGTAAAACATGAGACACCACTTAGCTGCTGAGAGTTCAGGGACCATTTGGCAGGAATACTGGACTGAAGAGGGTGTAGGCCGGACTCAGCACAGCGTGCTCAGGTGAGAACTTTAAAGGGGAGATCTCTGAGTTCGTGCACCAAAAACAGAGCACCAGAAAAAGAGAACATGGTGCTAATTCCTTGTTGCCAACACAGTTTAAGACATATTATATGGAATGATGTTTCTCAACATCAGAATTCCTTAAAGGGTTTGTTATAATACAGGGTCTTGTTACCTAATTCCAGAATATCTGAATACAAGTCTTTAGAAATGGGCTCTAGGACTATACAATGTCAACGGGCTTTTAGTTGATTCATTGGCACAAAACAGCTGGAGAACTGCAGCACATAGAGCCCTTGGTGAAGAAAACACTGCAATAATACCTGTCAGTGAAGCCTAGATTACTCAGAAAGCTGCTCCTGGGGAGGTTTGGGTGGTTTGCTCTCTTGAGGAGGTGCAGGTGTTCCCTCGGGCTTTCCAGCAGGAGGTGGGTGAGGCTTCTGGGGATGGCCTCCTGGTGGAGGTGGTCCCGGGGGCTTTCCAGCAGGAGGTGGGTGAGGCTTCTGGGGATGGCCTCCTGGTGGGGGTGGTCCTTGTGGCTTTCCTGGAGGAGGTGGGGGACCTTGGGGCTTGTGGCCTTCTTGTGGAGGTGGTCTATGCGGAGGCCTTTCATCCTGGCTTCCATTACCAGCAGGGGGCTTAGGTGGGCGTCCTCCAAAAGGCGGTCTCTGAGGCTTCTCCTCTGAGCTCTGGTTTGAGTCTCCTCCATCTGCGTGAAGTGACACCAGAAGAGCCAAGTTCAGTGATAGAAGAACCTCCTCCCTTTATACCTCTCTATCCTTAGCACACTGTCCTCTCTCCCAGAACGTGCCTGACAACCACTAACATCCCTTTTACTCAAGGCTTTCATAGGCAGAGTTCCTTTCATCCATACCTGGCTCATGAAAACTCTCATTTTCTTGTGCCTAGGACAAGTGTGTCTATTTTAGGCTAGCCAAAAACTACAAATACACAAAAAGGTCTTGGATACATTAGAATCCCCAGAGAGGAAAAAAAAAATGATGAGAAATGTCAGTCATGCAGCCAGATATGATGCCAGCTGCCTCAATAACTTGCTGACTGTGCTGACTGAACTCCATGCCTGGGCACCTGAGACATACGTGGGCACTAGAGCTGGTGGCACAGGCCCCAACACCCAAGTAGAGAAATACAAAGAGAGAGATGGGAAAGACAGAGTGAAAGCCCACACAGGATTCACTGAACAGTTGTGGCAACTTTTTATCAGCTACAGTAAGGCAGCTGAGTGGGGAAATGCACAAAAATGGGGCACAGACACTAATTTCTTTGCATTTTCAATGAAGTCACAGAACTCTGGGGTGGAACGCTGGGGGAGAAGGAAGCAGTTGAGGGGCTCTCAGCACAAGGAGGAGTCAGAATGAGGACGCTGCCCATTTGTCTGTCATCTCCCATCAGGCACTCACGGCCTGGGGGAAGGTCAACCCACTCCTCTTGTCATCTAAGCCAAGCATCTCTGCCATTCAGTGTGGTTGCCCTGCTCATGGCCCCAGAGTCAAGGTTGCAGGAAGATGGCCTGTATCATTGGAGCAGTGGCATTAATGAATTCCTGAAAGGAAAGTGTTGATAAGAAGCCACTGGGGAACTGATCAATTCCTAGGCAGAAAACGAGAGTCAAAACAGATTGAGAATGAACTGGGATTTACCTGATATTAGGGAGAGAGGTTGTTCCTGGCTGACATCTAGAAGAGAAGCACAAGACGATGGGAAAAGTTACATCTGGAATCTTTCATGACTCACAGGTGTTCTACAGGGAAAAGGGACTTCTGACCACACCCCATGCATTTCCTGCATTAACTCATCAGCCACCATCTGTGAAGCTGCTGGAAGGGGAGGAAGGTGTAAGGGGAGGCAGGGTTGTTACTACACAGAACAACATCCATGAACTCAACACAGAAGTGCCCCTTTTCTTCCTCCCTAGGATCCCTGAAGACTTAATACAAATGTATTTTACACATGCCAGGCACTTAAGTGTGATATTTCGGTATTGTCATGCCCTAATTCTCCTGTAAATATGTTGCTTATGTCCATATGCTTTCTCAGTAGGAGTAATCAGAAGTAATCATTTCAATACAGTCTTACCCATACCACTCCCAGCACATTGAAATACTGCATGCAGGGGAGAGAAAAATGACAATGATTGGCTCTGATATTTCTATATCTCTAGGTAGACGGAGACAAGTGTTTTATCCAATTCTCTGTCTCTGCAGTTTCTCTAATGTGTGTTTACCTTCTTCATCGATGCTGATCCGCCATCAGCAAGGCCACCATCATCCCCGTCCACTTACTGAGGTGAGCACAGGATCTTCACAGCTGCACTTCCCTGACTCTGTCCTGCATTCTCCACTGCATCCTTCACAGCACAGTCATATCTCTCTATAAATGCAAATCTTACCTTCTCATTCCCCTGGTACACATTCTTTATTGCATCTTCATTGTACATTAAATAAATTAGAAGCCCTTGGAGTGGAATGATGACACAACAGGTCTCCTGATCCTAGGCATGAAAACTCTGCAGCCCCATCTGTGTTTTCATTCTCCTCTCTTCCCACTAATTGCCTCCTAAGCCCCAACCACAGTCACCGCATCTTCTCCCCCTTCTGTTTTACCTTCATTCAAGCTCTGAGCTGAGCTCAGGGCCAGCAGGGCCACTGACAGCAGAATCAGCAGCATCTTGCAGGAGAGTTGGAGTTGCCCTCAACTCTGTGCAGGGAGAAATGTGGCAGCTCCCTTTATAAAGAGGAGCAGAACAATGGCGCCTTTGAGCTCCACACTGGGTGGGCCTGGCCACCTCAGAGACTGGGTTCTGCTTTGTTGATTGCAGATCAACTGTGTCCCTTATTTGCCTTTGGGACTGTAGCCCAGACGGATGTGTGGGGTGGATGTTGTTTGTGCCTTATTTCTAAAAGGTACAACTATGAATTGAACAAAGATTTTAAAGGAACTGTGTCAGAGCAATCAGCACTGTGACGTAATTGAACTTCAGACACCATGAGTTTCAGCTTTTTTTGATAAGACTGCTATCTATGCTTTTCACTGTACTGTTTATTGGTGTGTATGTGTGTATGAGCAGCAAAGCTACTCATAGCCAGCAGTGAAGATGGTCAATATATCTGACTGTTTTATAGCCTATTTCCATCTCTTGCAATGTGTGTGTAAAGACAATTTCACGTTTAGCTACATTTTTGATGAGATCGTGATGGTTTCTCCTATCGGTGAGATGTGTGAGGACAGCACACTCCTGGTCACACAAAGATGACAGAAAGCTGCCCCGCAGTCTGCTCAGGCTACACGAATTGTACAAGCTTCTGTGGATCTCACTCAGCTCAGGCAAGGCTTGGTGTTGTCCAACATAAAAAGGTCAAAATTGTGTATTTTAAAGTATCTACAGGGGTTATTAACGCAAAATGGACACAGAAACCACCAGAAAATTTCAAGACCGAGAAAACTGAAGACACTGTTCCTTGAGGGAGCCACACCATGTCACATCGCCAAAACTTCCTTCACTCTCTTCTCTTTCTCTAGAATATTCTATAAAATTTACCCTCTGTTTCATTTCTTATTCACACCACTGATAATTAAGCGGCCACAATTCTACATTCAAATAACGTAATCAGATAGCCCCCAGTCAATGCTCAATTGCATTGTAGAGGTTTTCTTGGTTTAGTCAGTGTCCGTGTTACCTGTTTTCTCAGACTGTTCTTCCACAAACAGTAGTTTTTCTACAATATTCCCATATGCATCCCTCTTGATGTTCTTTCTGGTACTTCTTGGTTCATATTTCATTTTCTGAGTCAAGCCCACTATGTATACTTTTCTTCACATATCTGGCTTTTCCCCAACAAATTCGATGAGATTTCTTTATTTAATCTTCTAAGTAATAGGCTGTAGTACTCGTCACCATCTTTGTTTCATTCTCATCTGTGTAATTTCACAATAAACGTTGTGCTTCCAAAAGCCCTATCAGAGTCCTGCGTTGGTAGCTCTTGTTTCAGCTGCTGATTGTTCTACCAAGTAAATCCGGGCTCATCAGTTCATGGAATATACGGGTGAGTCAGTATCAACAACTGCCTTTTACCACTTGAACCTTCCGTGTGTCTTGTGCACTTGTTCACATTTGTGTATAACGTGTTAATTGAGGACAGCTTGGTTGGAGGTATGATGAGGGTAGAGAGGATGTGTGACAGTAAGTCATAAAGACAGACCTCATGACCACTGTGGATGAGGAGATCCTGGGCTGTGCAGATGAGGGTCTGGTCTGGCCCTTCAGAAGGGTTACAGGTAATAGTACAGGAAGACTTCCTAATACAAAACATTTTGCTTACATAACTTTGCCCTTGCAAGAGAACCAGGAAGATTGCTATTTTCCCTGGCATAAATATAGGCATACTTGAAGGGGAAATATATTATTAATTGGCAATTCTTCTCTGGTTCGGTAGGAAGTGAATTGGTTCTAATTGGGCTTCATGAATTTTATCTTAGGCAGAGAATAGTTGCTTGGGCCAGCAGGTCCCACTGTGTTATCGAGATTTGTGTCTCTGGTCTCACCGGACACTTTTTTCCTTAGGAAATGGAGATGAGCAAGCCTGCCTTGGTGGCTTAAGTTGGACCATCGGGTAACAAAAGAGTGTCAGGGACAAGGAGCAGCAAAGAGGCCAAGCCAACATTGCCTGATTACGTGGCCGACTGAGGTTGCCGCAGACCTGATGCAAGACTTGACATTAGAGGAGAGTACAGGAAGAGAACAGGTAATGCCCCTAAAGGTCTCTCACCTCAGGCCCTTTTGCTGACCTTCTCCAATGTCAGCAGTGAGTAAAGTGTATCAAGAAAGCATAAATATCAGCTATGGACTCCAGACACAACAAAAATAGAAGGGATGGAAGAACTGAAAGGACAGTGTCTGTGAGTGAGGGTGGGTGGAAGGGAGAAGCAGGACTGCAGCAGGAGCTTGGGCACCTAGAGGTGATGGCAGCCCTCAGCACTCCACTTGCTTTCGACTATGGATGTTCATATTCTTAGGGTCTGAAGTAACAGTGTTCAACATATGGAATTTTGTAAAACAAAATTCAGCTCTCATAAGAACTCCCAACCCTTTCTAAGTCACCGGTGTTCAGTGGTTCAAAAATCCTCACTTCCTTCACCCACTGACCATTAGCAAATCAAGTTGGCTCCAGTTTTAGCATACATTCAAAATACAACCATATGCATAATCTTTACTAGAAGGTGATAAATCAGGCCGTGATGCTGTCTCCTGAAGGACGTTCACATCCTCAGCTGCTCTTGGTAATGTTCTACCCCAGCACATCCCATGTCAGTTCTCCTCACATCAGTCAAAGTGATCATTTAACAGTAGGAATTAGATCATAACACGTTTGTTTTTTGTTATTTTTGAGATGGAGTTTCGCTGTTGTTACCCAGGCTGGAGTGCAACGGCACAATCTCAGCTCCCCACAACCTCCGCCTCCCGGGTTCAAGCAATTCTCCTGCCTCAGCCTCCTGAGTAGCTGGGGCTACAGGCACACACCACCATGCCCAGCTAATTTTTGTATTTTTAGTAGAGACGGAGTTTCACCTTGTTGACCAGGATGGTCTCAATCTCTTGACCTCGTGATCCACCCGCCTCAGCCTCCCAAAGTGCTGGGATTATAGACGTGAGCCGCCGCGCCCTGCCTTACATCATAACACTTTTGTGCTTCAGATGCTCTTAGGGTTTCCTTCTGCGCTTGTAATAAGATCCAAATTTCATGCCTCAGCTCTCTCATACCCACACAGAAGCTCTCTGAATGGGACAGAAGGCAGAATCTTCCTCAGCTTACTGTGTTCATTGCATAAACTAACCGTTCTGATAATGTGGTTGTGTTTGAGAATTCAGCTTTGCTTTGACTTGTCTAAAAACTTTGTTACACTAATTTGATAGTCATCTTTATATTTTTATTTGATGTTAATGCTCCATAAACATATATTTCACAATTATTTGAGCATATTTGTATTCTTTCCATTTATCCTAGCCAAGGCTGGTTATAATGGAAAACATTCCGTGAGCATTTACTATATGATATGCAATCTTCAGAACCTTCATGTCAGGGAGGTGTGATTGTATTATTGTCTTAATCTTGTAGATAAGCTGACCCTGGTGCATGCCTAGGTTGGTGTAAAGGTAGTAAGGGGAATGGAAGGCAGGCAGTTCTCAGAGCTGAGTTCTTGCCCACTGTGCTCCACTGATTACTTGCTCTTCATTCATTCATTTCTTTACTAGAAAGTGAGAGGAAATGAGGATCAGAGAACTAAGACAAGTTTGTCTTGGAATATTTTCAAAGTTAAATTTTCCTGGGCCTTTAATAGATAGTGAGAAAAAAACATATTTTCCTGATTAAAAATGTTTATTTGAAATCATAATCACATTTTCAAAGTTTTCTAGTTTATTCAGAATTTTTTAGCACAAAGCGCTGTTGAATTTTGTCAAAGGCCTTGTCTGCATCTATTGAGATAATCATGCGGTTTTTGTCTTCAGTTCCGTTTATGTGATGGATTACGTTTATTGATTTGCCTATGTTGAACCAGCCTTGCATCCCAGTTAGAACCATGCAAATTGAACCAACTGACAAATGGCAGTGTTGCCTATCGTTTGTACTGCTAATCGTCACTCATCTTCTCTTAGGGTAAAAAGAAGATGAATTTATTCCTGGCAATATGATGTGAATCATCTGTCACTGTAGGCTTTAGGTTCAACATTGCCTCATTCCTTCTTGAAATGAGGAACTCCTCGTTGGATATGTGAACTGCTGATGTCAACTTACCATGTGCCAAGTAGGACTAATTTTTTGGGCACCATCAATGATTTCACCTTCTTCCACCCCAAATTCACCATCAATCTGATGTTCATACTCAGTGTAATTTTAGAAGAATTCATGTTGTTCTTGTAAGACTTCTTTTGAAACTGGTATCTTATTTTTCTTATGTCTCAAGCTAGCTCCTGTTCTGACATGTCATAGCAAGTCTTTCTGAGTTCATATTGGTGCAAAAAATGTTGAAATCCATTCATGGTATTTCCTAATAGAATAGGCATTTTCCATTAACATTTTAACAACCCACTGCATTTAGAAAGGTGTCCTAATACAATAAGGTCTACTACAGGTAACTTAGACTTTTCCAGCTGACTAGATAGCTTGGTTTCTTGGTTCTGCCCTAGCATAAATAGGGATGTTTTTTGAAGATGGAATATAACACCAGTGGCCAAATATTCTCCAGCTTCATGCAAAGTGTCACATTTGTAAATGAGCTTCACATGCTTTAAGAGAGAAACAGAGTGCTTGGCCCTAGTGGGTGTGCTAACGTTCTTGAATGATTTTCTCCGGCATCACCAAACATTATCTGGAAAGAGAAGCTGGAGATGGGCAGTCTGGCCTAGGTAACTTATGGTGGACCAACGGGTAGGGAAGGAAGGCAAGAGAGAGAAGCAGAGGGGAGTGCCAGGCAGATGTGCCTCTGTGGCTGAGTCACTGGGGAAGCTGCAGTCCTGATTGGAGGCAGGCTTCTCCTCATCTGCTGAGTACAGGAAGGCAAGAGGTGATGCTTCCAAATATCACTCAGCTCATGCCCTATTCCTGTCCTTCTCCTATGTCAGAAATGAGTGAAAGAGATTAGCATATGAGGAAGGAGTAAATATCAGGTACGAAGCTACCAGAGACAACCAAAACAGAGGTTACCAAAGAACTGAAGGAGACAGTATCACTCACTTAGGATGGGGTCAAAGCA